CGTTCTATGGCATCTACTGTTGCATAATTGATGTGGTTTTCTTTTATTATCACTTTCTTAGGCACCAACACTTTCCTATGATAATATTAGTGCTATCTACATTACAATTAATCATGTTTTTCATGCTAGGACAAAACACATTAAGTTAGACTATCATTTTGTACGTGAAAAGATTGCCCTTGAATTACTTGTCACTCGTTTGTTTCCTCGCGTAATCAAGTAGCTGATATCTTCACCAAGTCATTGCCCCGAGAAGCTTTTCAAGAACTTTGCTTCAAACTTAGAGGCCTCCCCAAGTGATTTTGAGGGAGATTAATAAAAACAAAATTCAAGAATCCTAGTTTTGGAAAGGCAACAAGAGAAGTATTATTCTTTCCTTTTGAGAGAATGTAACAAGAGAGAAAAATATATATTGCATGTAACAAGATAAGAACGTGTCCATTATACCATTATAATACTATTATATATACAATGAAAGAACCACCACAATGTTAGTGTGGGATACAATTACTTTTCAGAAGTTCATTTCTCTTTCTAAAATTCTTTATTTTTTGCACTTGAAATTCTTTTTTATTTTCATAAGCATAATGATCAAGGTGTAGATGATTGATTTGAAGGTTTCTGAGGTGAACAATAATTTTTGTTGAGTTTTAAGGTGAGACTTTATGTTTTTATATTAAAGCGTTGGCCTTATTTAATCTTTTTCTAAATAAGATCACATTTTTATATCAACAAAATAAAAAATGAAGTTTAAATCAGATCCTATTCATATGTAGCCTTCCAAAACTCCATCTTAGAGCTCAAGATCTATATCACATTTTAAGCCCCTTAGATGCATTTGCATTTTAGATCCACAATTTTGTAACTCGAACAATAGTGCAAAGTTAATGATCTACGCAAAATTAAAATGAATGATGATGAACAGTCGAAAAATAAAGTTTAGGACATTTTTAAAACTCATTTTTTTAAAATTTAGAGCTCAATTTTTAAAAGTCATGATCTTTGGGATTATCCCCCTGTAAATATTTGGGTCTAAAATATATCTTTAAATAAATACTTAAAGGAGACCACATTTGAATAGGTGCATCGGCTAACAAACAAAATAGTTGTCCATAAGATAATCCTTTAAAATGAAAAAATATGGAATAGATTTTGAATATCGAGCAAGCACCGCATTATTTGGTAAAGAAATTTGTTTCATAAATTAGAAAAACAGTTTATTATTTATTTATTCCCCTAATTTAGTCATTGACCCATTAGCGATCCATTTATAGAAATGGACCATGGGAGATATGTAATTAAGTCTGTTTTTCTTAGACTTTGTTTGTAACATATCCCATGCATAAAGGGCGTCTATACGATCATATATCCACAGGTCTCGTGGAATCCCGAGCTTTTCTATAATACAACTGTAAAATATAGAAAATGTTTTGATAGGGCTGCAGCCAATCAAAATAAGTAAAGCTTAGCTTTATAACTCATCAAAATTGCAATTCTGATGTTGAAAAACCTACAAATCAATCATCTCGACGTTGACCGTGTGGTTGTGAAAAATATTTAAGGTTTCAAGCTCTAAAAATAGTGTATACTCTAACACATTATCTAAACCATCAATTTAGCTCTATATATATGTATTCATAGATCCGCATGATCTATACTATTTTTTGAACTATCATGGAGATTTTTATGCCTAAAGTGCTTTACAAACAAGGATTTGAGGTGATGCTTTATTTTATTTTCATAGAGCCTAATCCTTAAAGAAATTACATCCTTAAAAATATGTTAGTGTAAAGGCTGATATATGAGCTCTCAAAATTTCAATTGAGATACCCTTTATTTAAAAAATATCCACCAACATATCAGTTATAAAATCACGCTTTGGAAAAAATTTATATGAGGAGCCATGTTATAGAACTAAGGCACTCCTCAAAAAAATCGACCAAAACAAGATTGTTTCAATGTTGATTCTATTGATCATCTCAACCTCAAGATGCATGGATATGAAAAAAAAAAAAACATGATTCAAATCTTGATTTGTTTTGAAATCTCATTCTGAAAAAAATATCAACAACTATTCAAGATATAAGAAAATATTGCTCTCATTTTTTTTTCCTATTTACCAGTTCAATTAATGGTGCTGGTCAATTTTTTTCTCAAAAATATATTATTATTGTTTTTATTTGTGTGCTATAAAATTACATCTATCCACAAAATTTTAAATAAATATAATTTTTAAATAAAAACAAAAAAATTATTTTGTGATTGAATGATGCTAGGTTTAATATGAACAAATTGAAAGGTACTTGTACACCGATCCCCTTTTTTTCCTTAACAACAAATTGTTCCATCTTTAAACTTTTGTTGGGGTTCACTTGTTCCAAAAGGGCTCCGTAAAAAACAGATGGATGAGGGCTTTGGTACATTAGCCGACTCACCCTATTTAAGAGCGGCCTTCTTTGAAAATTTATGTTTGAGATGATTTTAATCTCGACCATCATGGTCTTAAATTTTAAAAATAAATAAATAAATAAATTATTGAAATAGATAATTTTAAACTTTAATAAATCATTTCTAGATCATTTAGATTAAGTATTTTAAAAACTATTTTTTATTTTTAAATTCTATCTTTTAAATTCACGTGGTCTTCGAGATCATTGACTAATTAAATTTTAAATTCAAAATCTATGTTGAAGATAAACTTTTTAATGACACACTTGAATAGCAATGTACCACAATTTGTCCCAAAATAATAACTTCACACAAATGAGAATTATACTTATAGGGAACGAGTGGAGCTAATTAAAATTACCTATAATTATTATATATTGAGAGATGTTAAGAGATAACATGGCCCTAAGTGGAGCTCCATTTGCTTCTAGTTAAGCACTTTTAAGCTCACACTACCTGAAAGAAAGCGCTAATTAGAGCCACATATGCTTAATAGCCAAGCACTTTTAAGCTCACATTACGTGAAAGAAACGATGCTCACTTGAAAGAAGGGAAACTAATCCAAATCAGTGCTTTAAAACCCATAAATTTTCAGTCCGGATCGCCGATTTAGATAGGAGTCAAGACTAAACTAGTTCCAAAATAGTATAGATCCGACCCGGTTCCCCCCTTAGTTATAAGGACCAATTGGTAAAATTGAGAGTGAAAACTGACACGGCAATAGTGAGAAAATATATAACAACTTATTGTCTCACTGAGAGTATGACCCTTGATAGAGCAAACTAGCGGACCAGGATTAGTGTAGTCGACCCTAAATAGTTTGAAAAAAGCTTTGACGATGACAATAGTGAAAATCCTAAGAAGAGGGTATTATTCCTATTTTTAAAGTGGGTGGTATTTCAAAAGGATACATAGATATGAGGGTTTACCTGGACCCATACAAAGAGGGGGACTATGTTATTTTTCCTTCAAGTTTCTACTAGGAACCGGAAAAGCTTGGGTTTCGATCAAGTTTTTGCAAACCCACATGATTAACCCGTTTGGTTCGAGTGAAAATATTTCCTGAAAAATATTTTCACATGAATAAATCCCCTTATGTGGTTAAGTGTGAGAATGTTTTCACACCAATAAGCTATCAAATGGTGTAAAAGATATATTGAGACTAATTAGTGTGAAAATATTCTCATACCTAACTACAAGACGGAATTCTTTCCCATGAAAATATGACCGATGAAGTAACTCACTCTCTCTTTCAATGCAAATGGAAGTGGAGGAATAATACGACAAATGAATTTATTGTTGCCATTGCATTTAGGGTGCGGTTTGTATAGGCTCTATACGATCAAATTAGAGCCCACTTTCAAGTAGTGTCGAGAAATGTGGTTTCAATACTGGAAATTTTTGCCTTAAAATATTCTTTTATCTTTAATTATAAAATTTTAGGCTTAAAAAATAGTGTAGATAGAGCAAATCTATGAAAACTTGAATAACTTAAAAATTGACAGTTAAAAAATGCATTACAAGATGTACTATTTCCAAAACTTGAAGTTCATTTTTTTTCTGAAGTCCATGCATCTTGATGTCGAGATGATCAATTTGAGGATATTTGAGCTTCAAAGCAACCTCTTCTAGTGAAATTTATTAGGTAGGCTTTAATTTGATTGTCTAGAGCCTAGGCTCTATATAAACTTTTTCCTTACATTTATTCTTCTTATTTAAAAGGTTTTATATACTCTAAAACTTTATATCATTGTCACAATGAGGTCATAACTAATTCCTTGCCCTTAGATTTTAAATGAGATGGTTTGGGATGAGCCATGAAGTTCGAGAAAAATTCTTTTGAATTTTGAGTCAAGTCAATGATATGCTTACGATCACTTGGTTTAAAATATGATGACAAGCGCGATCCTCTTTGTATTAAAAAAAAATAAAAAATATAATATAAAATTAGCAACTTTACAAACGTAGAATTAAAGGTAAACCTCAAA